TATCTGCGCATGACTCAGACTTGTTCACGATTACCTATGACTAAGGATTCCAAAGGGAATCCGAAACGTCAGGACAATAAAACTCTTGTTCCAGTGATCGCTTCTTCTTCTTTGGACCTTGAAGTCACTCTAGCTTGGATTTTGTGCTAACAGCCGTGACCTGCAAAGTTCCCAATCGACGAGCTAACTTGTTCACCATGAGGACTAACACTTAGACTACTATGTTTTGTTCTTCATTCTTTTTCGATGAATGATTCGAGACCCTATTCAACTTCCGATTATAATGCATTAACGGACTAACAGATGTACCTAGCAGGCGTAAAACCCGATTTCCACTGGTGAATAATTGACACCAGATCTTAGGTCAAAGCCGATCAAAGTCGTATTTTTGCCAGCTTTCCTTACTGGAATTAGAATAACCTACTAAAATGCTTGCCTCGTAACGTTGCAAGTTGATGGGAGAAGTCGGTTCTCCTTTCGAGCGATGATGAGGCAGCGAAGCTATATCCTTATTTGTTTTCGATAACCTCTCTCATCTGTCCTCGTGGGGAATGCGTCCATTCCCACGATGAGTCACAGTCCATAAGGGCGTCGGAGCGCAGTTTGCACGCCGCGGCAGTGAGAGCGCGCATCCTAGCTATCGATTTTTCGTCATAGCTGATTGGTCCAGCGTCGTCAACGCTCCCCCATCAAGCTGACGGAATAAATGCTGCGCAGCCTTTTGTGAGAGTGACTTAACTTGCAATTTCTTGCTTTGACGTGTTCTGTGTGAATGTACTTCTCCTGGCCGATTGACTTCTCCTGCTTCCTCGTGGGCGGTCAGGACAACAGCTGCGCTAGCTCAGAGGTCGTGCTAATTACAAGTACCAGGCGCGTGTCGTAACAGTCCTGGATTCATGGTGTTCAGTCTAATACTCAAGCGGCCAATAAAATACAGCTACACACAGAGAAATACAGAGATACTGAAGCCGGTTCAGCTCGGATTTACTGATACTGGTCGCGCTTTGTAAATTTGCTAACCGATGAACTAACTGGATCACCCTGCGGAGTAAAGCTTAGACTACAATCGTTTGTTCTCAATCTTTTCGAGAAATGATCCGAGGCCCCATTCAAATTCGCATTAAAGTACGTGAGGGAGTTTTCGGGTTCCATCTAGCAGGCGTGGAACCTGATTTGGCCACGTCGGTCACTGTGCCCTCATCACCTTCTCTTACAGTCGAGACGATAGAAGGGCTAAAGGTTCTCTCGCTCTAAACAAAACTACACGCAATTCACCTCCACGCTCAATGGGAGTTTTCGGCGCTTACGACGAAAGAACCATCATGCAGGTGTCTACTTAGTAAAATAGGAGGGATATCCACTCTTCTGGATTCAAAGCTGTACTCGATATTTAGTCGTATGAGGTTTTTGTTGCATAGTGATGCCATGTTTTGCTCTGAAAGACTGTGTTGAGCTGTGCTGAGACAAAACTTCTATAACCTTTTTGACTGGTATGTCCAGTCAAAGGAATAGCGTACTGAGGACCCCTCAAAGGTCGGAATTTATTTGTTCATGTATAGGTGTGGAGCCTGAATAAAAGCCAACTGCATTGTGTCAAACTAAGATGGAGCTTTTGTGCCAGATAGGGTCCGAGACTACCCTTACTGTTTGAACAGAATGCGAATGGGAAGAGAGTACGGTTGACGTTACTGGTGCTTCCAGCAGAATAGACCAGTTGACACGGATTCAATCCTCATTCCCAAGTCAGGATCTAAAACGTTCTTTCCTGTTCTTCCTCTTCCTCCTCCCCAAGGCTCAATCACCAAAGTCGCTGCGTTTGCATCCGTAGCCAGCCGTCTGGCCCATTTCACTGATGTTCGACGACACTGGTGGCGCAACCGAGGCAGCGGTACAACAGTCCCCGATGTGTCAAAGACGATTATCAACAATTCATCCCTCTCCTCCTCCGTCTCCCTTGTATCATCACCCCAACAACAGCCCCTAGTCGGCAGACCAACGGACCTCCCGATAAAACCGTCTGCAACGCCGTCCAGCCCCCTCGTCTGCACAAAGCCCTCATCTCCACTGCCCCAGCGAGCACAGATGCCTGTGACTGCCTCCGTTGAGATACCAGATCAGCTTCCGGACCCACCTGTCAGCCGTGCTGAGGCAAGCCCAAATTTCTGCACCAATAATTTCTTTCATATTTACGTCTGCTTACCTACACTATTTTTACTTGTATCTGCATCTGTCAGAGTTGGTAGAACATTTGTCGCTTGAGGAGAAAAAAATTGTAAAAAGTATAAGACCTTTGAGTGGACAGCACTTCGAGACTTGTGGCATTCTGCACATTTCCTTCACCGCTGAGAGGCTCAAGGCATCGTGTCTGTCTGTTGCTGCATAATATGACAACGAGGAGTTCGGCTCATCAGTGGGTCCCCCAGATTTCTCTAAGCGGTTTCTGGTATATTACCTCCAGATAATAATCACGGGACTAATTGTAGACGTTATTAAGTGCATGATATGGAGGTAGATAACCGGGACATGAACTTTTAGGGCCGCACCCTAATTTCAATGAACATTTAAATCGAAGACAATACCGTGGAATTACCACGGAATGCCCATTATCCAAACGAGTGATTCTACAAGTAGTAGGAATTCTATATGATAATGATATTATACCGTACTCTTGACATAGACACTAGCTAAAAGCCCAGGCACATGTTTCGCCGATGTTTCACCTGCTGTATGATACAGCAACAAGGGGTTCGGCTCATCCCTTGATTATTATATGGAGGTTATATAGCAAAAACCGCATAGGGAACGCTGGGAGACCCACAAGCTGATGACGGCTAATAAGCCAGAAATAGCCATTCCGGTCTCCTTATTCTCTGTCGGTTCCACTCCATACATATATGTTAATAGCAGCGAAGATGCGCGTCCCCGGACATAAATGAGAAGATAAGGCGATCTCGGGA